TTTTAAAATAAAATTATCAATAAATAAAAAATTATAATATAAATTGTTTATCATAAATACAAAATATAATTTATATGTTTAAAAATTTGTATATTAAATTTAAGTAAAATTTATATATTCAAATATAGTATTTATTTATATATACAATTTTTTTTTATAAATTTTAATTATATATAATAAACATATTTATAAATTATACAAACTAAAATATTAGTATCTTTTTAATTTATATTATACATGTTTATTTAACTTGTGCTGTCCAATATTGTAAATTTTGACAAATCAAACCGACATTAAGATGGAAAAAACATTATGTGTCTCTAATTTAAAAAACAATGTAAATTTAAAGAAAAAAGATTGGATGGTTATTATGTGAATACTAATTGTGGAAGCAAAAATAATTGTAAAAATAAGAAAGTCGTAAAAGTGAAAAGAAAAAAAAGAGTGGAGGAAAAATAAAATTAATTAATATATTTATATAGATATGACTATAAAATATACTCACAATTGTTTATAGTAATATATAAAATTGATATACTTTTTTGTATATATATTTATAAAATATTTTTATCCTCATAAATTATCTTTTAATCACCATCACAGTTTTCAGATTATCTTATCAAAATTAATTATCATTTTTTTCAAAATTAATTATCATTTTTATATTTTCTTTTAATAGAGGTAGATAGTTCATTTTCCATTGATTATAAAATTAATAATTAAATTTTTACAAAATAAAATTTAAAATTAATTATAATATTAATTATTAATTTTTTAATTGATAATTATCATTACACTTTATTTGCTAAAGTGCAATTCTCTCATGAGGTATATTATACGTAAGAAAGAATAAAATAGTCTTAAATAGACATAAAAATAGGGTTAAGAGTTTTATTTATAAGCACATATGCTTCATCATCCCTACAAATATTGTTTGGAATTGGGCGGCTTTCAAGTTAGGTGAGAGGGTTAGCACGGGATGGGCCTAAATGGAAAACAAATAATTCGATGGATAAAAATTCTACTTTTATTAATTTCTTATTTTGGGCCACAAATAATTCGATGAATTAAAATTATTTTTATTTATTTTTTTATTTAAGTCTTGCTAATTAATTTCTATATATTAAACATAAATTACCTAAAAAAATGTATAAACTATTAATTATTAAATCTTATATAATATATAATTAAGTGTTATTATTTTTTCATAGTTAAAAATTTAAAATATTTTTAACTTTCAAAAATAAGTAAATTTTCATTATTTTATTTTATTTTATAATCTTATTTTCAAAATATTGTTCTATATATTTAAGATTTCATTTTCAATAATCTATTTTATTCTTATAACTTAAAAAAAGTACTTTAGAAATATATGTTATTTTTAAATACAATTAGTGAAATTAAATTATATTAATTAATTTTTCCTATATTTGAGATCAGAAAGAGTACATGTTGTGTAGAGATCTTGGATCACCCTTGCTAGATAGCCTTCGACTACCTATAATTTATCTTCTTTATAACATTCTCTTTATTTTTAATTAAATTTATTGATAACTAATATTTAACATACAAGCTAAATATTTATTATATATAAATAAAATTTACAAAAAAATTATAAATATAAATAAATATTATACTTAAATATATAAATCATGTTTTAAATTTATGTAAATAAATATTATTGAAATATAAATTTTACTTAAAATTTATGATAAATAATTTATATTATAGCATAATATTATTTTATTTTTTATATTTAATTTTAAAACTATTAAAATTTAATTTATTAATAATTATAATAAATAAAAAATTAAATTAGATAAAAAAATTAAAAAAAAAATTAAAAAATTCTCTCATCGAAGAAAAATTTCTAAAAACTCTTTTACACAAGATAAAAATTTGTATTTAATATACAAGAGATTGATAATAAAATTCAGTAGATGTCACTTCTTATTTTATGAGTCTTTTCAAAATTAAAAGTAAAAATTATCAAAAATATTTATGATTTTAAATATTTTTTAACCAATAATAAAGAGCATTTAAAAAAGTATTGTTTGTATTTCTTATCAATCAAAATACAACATTTTCAATAATAATCAAAATAAAAAAATTGAAACAATGTAATAATAGACGTGTAAAATTCTTGAGAATGCATTGGCACCCATTATTAGCCCTTATCTAATATGAGTTCATGTCTTCTAAAATAAAATGGTATTGGCATGCACAATATAAAATTTTATAAAATAATATGTCACAAGATAAAATAATATGTCACAATATAAGAATAACAAGAAATTTAAAGTATATGTATTTCTCTTTCTTATTATTCTTGTACTGTGACATATTACATATTTCTATAAAACTTTATAATATTAAATCAATTTTTCTTCAATTCGTTACTTAATTATAAAACATCTTTTTATTTTTAAATTAATATTTAAATTTATTTATTCACTGTTGGTTATAATAAATTATTTATAAATCATTATCAAAATAATAAAATTAAATGGACAAATACATATACTTTAAATTTTAAGTTATAATATTTCATTAACAATAATTTTTTAAGCTATAATAAAACTTACCGCACGTAAACTTGATTCATTCTTTATATACTCGAACCTTCTATTTTATTTACGGTAAAAATATATTAACAATATATTCAAAGATGATTAAATTTTATTAAATATTTACTTTTTTTATTATAATTTCAATCAAAGTTAAATTAATTAACAATATAAGAATTGAGATGAACATTTGAATTATGTTAGTTAAATGAAACAGAAATAAATCAAATGTAGTAAGTTTTATTTTTTTAAGTGTTATATAGACTAATAATACTGTTTTTTCTTATCCAATTTTGTTACGTTACTAAATAGTGTAACATTTTTCTAGAGGATCTTAACTCATCTAATACTTGAATCAAATTTAATGAAGATTTCATGCATCACCAAGGCAACACAAATCATTGCATTTTGGCTTTACAGTTTACAGTACTTAAAAGGGAAAGATCTTGTACTTGGTTATACAAAGTATACGCAGTTGTGAATGAGGAAAATACTGATCAAATGACTAAGGGGTTAGGCTAATTAACGAGACAAGAGGAGAAATATATTAAGATATAGTGTATACTAACGTACACCTAAACCATTTTGTACGTGTCGTTACTTGTGTACAAGACTCCGTAGCTAACCATCTATTTCTCCGTCAACAGGCTCTGTTTACTAAATGATATTGCAACCCCATGAATACATAGACCCTTGTACAACTACAAACATAAACAATCCATTCAAGCTAAGGCTATTGATAAACAAGAAAAGTTAATACTATCTTAATTATAAATAAAAAAAATTACTTTTTTTAAAAATAAAACTTAAGTACAATTATTGAGTGTGATTAATGTTATTTTTTAATCAAAATTAAAGATTAATCTCGATAACATGCATAAATATATATTAATAAGATCTATATTAAATATAAATGTATATTATCAAGATAAATTTTTAATTTTGATTAAAAAATAACACTAGTCATACTTTAAAATATAACAATTATTTAAAATGAATGATATATTTAGAATAAATCTTACATTTATATAATTTGGACAATTGGTTTTAAATGCGCATGCTACGCCTCTAATTTCCACCGAAAAGTGCAAAGAAAATTAATTTGGTTTACACAATATGGGGGAGAGTATTATTACTTTATTTTTGGCTTAAATGCACATTTGGCTTAAATAATATACTATTAATGAAGTGCAAGGAGTATAGCATGTTTTGTTAAATTTGTCTAATATATTATTATTAATTAAATTGATGAATCAGTCAAACCCACCTACTTTCATACATCTCAAACCTCTCAAACAAGGACCACCCTAGCTAGCCACAGACTACTGGATCCATTCTCAATTGAAGCTTTAATTCAAATTTTTTATTCTTGTCATAGAAAAACTAGAAAGAAATCCTTAAGAAATAATGAAATATATACACCTGCCCTATAACTCCATATATCCATAGCATTTCTTATTTGCAACGAGTACAGCTTAATGCATTTAGTATTTGTATCTTTACAGTAATGCGTGAACAAGGACCAATACTTCAACGGCAGACATGATATTCCTTTTCCCTTCAAATTAATTAATAATACAAAGTTTGATCGTATACAAGAAACGGATAAAACTTAGATTAAATTCCTTATATCATTATTGTTAGTTCTCAAATCAAAATGATAACATTTGATTCATTTTCTTTCTAATAGTAAATAACCTCCATTATATATATAATATAGTGAGAGGCAAAAAACTATAGGTCATTATATTTATTTCTCTTACATGTAAAATGACCCTCTTACTAGATACATGCATGGCATATATATGTTGAAGTTTTTTTTATAAAAATAAATTACATATATTATTTTATTTAAGAACTTGATGATAATTATATATAGGAAACCTGATATAGGTTTTTTCCTTACAGCAAACCTGCAGATATAATTAAGTTGTGCCTGGTAGAAATTCAAGAAATTCCATTGAGCTTCTGACTAACAAATATATATATATATATATATATA